TTCTTAGGCTATATTAAGGGACTGTTTGGTTCGGCGGTACCCCTGCGGCGCTGCACCGTGCCGCGAATTCGCGAGCAATTTTTTCGTTTGTTTAGTTATCCCGCTCGCCGCGGGCCGCGAATTTGGCGAAAGGCCGGCAGCGGGATCAACCCCCCGTGCCGCGAATTCGCGAGCAATTTTTTCGTTTGTTTAGTTGTCCCGCTCGCCGTCTTCTCTTGATCTATCGCGAAGCACAGTGTCGCGCCGCGCTACTCCTTCCACCTTCGACCGAAGAGCCAAAGTCGTCGACTCCTTCTTCCACCTTCGACCGAAGAGCCAAAGCTTCTGCTTCATCGCTACCGAAGGCCATGATTCTGAGCAAAATCGGGATGGAGGGATTGCGATTTTAATTTTGTTAATTTTGTTAAGTTATTAATAAGTAATGATTAAAATTCATATATTTTAAATTTAATTATAATCAGATGGATTTATATATTAATATTTAATGATTAATTAATTTATTTATAAATATTTTTTTATGTTTTTTAATTATGTGATAAAGATATAAATAATTACTATTTAATTATTAATTAATGTAAATTTTTTATTTAAATTTGTTTACTAAAAGTATTATTTTATATTATGTTTTACATAGTTTTATTGAATTGGGCAAAATGGTCATTTTTACAGAAAAAACTGTCTCGCAGCTATTTTTACGCAGCTGAACCAAACAGACAGTCAGCTCCCTCACAGCTGCTTCCCCGCAGCTGCTTCCTGGGACAGCGCAGCTGCAGCTGCAAAGCTGAGAAACTGCAGCTGCGCCAAACAGACCCTAAGTTGACAAAATTTTATAGCCTAGATGTTCATCATTTTGATCGAATAAATATTCATAATTTCAAACACGGAAAGAAAGCCATAATATTTAATTTCGATAAAGCCTCTGTAAAATGATCTCTAGCTAACACTAAATAAGTTTGACGTGATAGTCAAACTTGTGTCTAAACCAGAAAACAAAACACCGGCTTCACAAGTGCCTTGTATGTAATTATCCCTTTTTTATATTATTATTCCTATATCTAAGCTAAAAAATGATAGATCTAATTCTAGACAACAAAATTTATATAAAAATAAATAAATTTCAAACAAATTTCAACAACATTTAAATTGTAAATTGAATAAATTTTAATATGCTCAAATAAAAGTTAATTTTACCGACAGATAAAAAATGAAAGCTTAGAGAAGCCAGAAAGTAACACTACATGAATTCACATAATACTTGACAATCAAAAGCCATTAATAGATATACAAAAAAGAAATAACTGTTAGTTAATATTAAACCGACAACCGTCAAACAAGAGTAGCCTGTTAGCTTGTTCGTAATCTAAGTAACGGTTACTTCTGTAATTTGATGACTTACTTACGGCTGTATCCCATGGGTTTATGTTGAAAGCATACTTGTTGGTTAAGGATAAGTTACCTGCCAGTTATATAACCGAATGATAAAAGTCATCAATTTATGTCGAAAGCATAATTGTTGTTAGGTCATCGGGTAATCGTCGATAATCAATCATCTGATAATCATTGGTTGAAAAACCAAATGTCACAAGAAGGGTTCATGCAAAAGAAAAAAGTGTCAGTTACTCTTAGCTAAATTCAAAAATTTTGTAACCGATGCGACAACATGTCAATTTCTTGATAGCACGTCGCTTAGCAGTAGATTAAGGATCCCTCAAATAATCGATAATTATAAGCCGTCGGTTGATGCCAAAAGAGAAAAATATGTTCATTACTCTCGGTTAGATTCATAAGTTTCATAACCGATGAGATAGGCTGTCGATTTTTCAATTTTCCGTCGAATAACCATCAATCAAATAATTGATGGTCCCTAGTCGTCAATTCGTGCAAAAAACTAAACCCTAAACCCTTTACACATGCTGCTCTCCTTAAAACCTCAAAATGGCTCATTGTTCGTGAATAGTTCTTGTTTGGCTCATTAAAAAGACCGTGTTCGATTTATTTATATTATGAGTAGTTGTGCCGCAAGCCGTGGTCTGTTAGTTGGCGGGGTTCAAAGTCTCCTCAGGTCCCATGTTCGATCCCCAGTGACGCTGGGTTCTCGAATATTTAGGCACATGGCGCTGGCTCTCATCATAAGGCCTAGCACATGGGAAATTGGTGTTTGTGCCACTTTCAAATACCGATTTCCTTTTAATATATATATATATATATATATATATATTATGAGTAGTATTTTTAAAAAATTTAATTGACTACAAGACTACAAAGATTTATACTCAATTAAAATTATTAATTAAAGTATATTATAATATAAATAATAAAATTAAAATCTCGCCCCAATCCTTATTAAAATGATTTTCCGTTCACTTACAACTCGTGTTCGGCTTGCTAAGCAAACTGGGTCAAACAAGAATATATTTTTTGTGTTCGAAATATAAACGAGCCAAACACGAGCAGTAATATTTTTTAAAGAGCCGAACACGAGCGAGCACGTTCTTGTTGGTGTTCGGCTCGTTTACAACCCTACATCTACTAGTCTGATGAGGATCTTCTTTATGCTTCATTACAGAACTCTTGTAGAACTCTTGAATTCCTGTTAAGCAAAATAAACTGTTGAGAACTTGGATATATCGCTACGGTCTATAAATTCCAGAAAACAATGGACGTCATTATACAAAATATTTGTACATTCTGTAGAAATAAATGTTTGGAAGGTAAATTATGAAAGTAGAAGAAATCATGCCTACGTGGCATGATTCTGGCCACATAGGATCTGAAATCATTCCACGCATGCATATTTTTGTCTACTTGTAAATTCTTTTTTAGTTATATCTGTAATATTAATTTAAAATTATACTTAATTTTTTTAAAAAATTTTGCCTTGTACTAACAAAGCAAATGGTATGCTCGAGAGGGCAGAGACAGTCGATTATGGGTGTAAACAAGCCAAACACTACGTAGTCCAGGCTCAAGGCCATTTTCGACTAGTTAAAAAATTTCATTATTCATGTTCGGCTCATTTATTTTTGGAACCAAAAATATGTTCGTGTTCAACTCATTTACTTGGAGCCGAACGTGAGCTGCTCGAGAACAAAGTGTAGCTTTGATAATCCTAATCACGCAATCACCGGATGTTAAGAATTAGCGTGAGATTTAATTTTTGTTCATGTTCAGCTCGTTTATATATCGAGTATGAAATAATTGTTCATGTTCGGTTTGTTAACTTAACGAATGAATCGATCAAGAACTTCTTAAGTAGTAGACGACAAACTTTTCACGAACAAAGAACCATTTTGGCAGCCCTACAGTCGAGGGTGTGCCATCGAAGAGCGGAACAAAACTATCGAACCTCGCGACATCCCACCTCCCCAACCTTAATGTCGGTAAATAAATCACAAATATTTCGTTTAAGTTAGAATGTTAGTATATTTATAATACAAAGTAAATTTTGTTACCATCGTGTATTTGCGCGCGCGCATCTACGATTATATCTTGATGATTGTATAAGTAAAATTGAATTAGCACTATTCCAAATATTAATAAATGATGGAATATTCGAGATTAACTTGTTGAATAAATAAACTTTAGAAAGTAATTAAATGTAACTTAATTATGGGGCAGAATATTATGGAACACAAAAAGATACTAATCTTTTGGAAAAGTAGAAAGTAATTTTTAGCAAGTTATAGTAGGTATCATAAATATTAATTTCTTCACAAAAAAAAAAAAACAACTTCTC